GGGGGGGGGGGGGGGGGTCACAGTTTGGGCCAATCCTCACTTTATTCAAACTGCTTCTCCCCAGTTACGCTCTGTTCAATAGCAAGAACACAGGTGGGCCAATATATCTCCTTGTGTATAAACAAAGGAGAAGCGGGGTTTCCAACTCCACCTGAGCCTAGTGATTGGAGACCCCTCCACCACCATCGGGGAGGACACAAAAGGGAAAGAATATACATCGTTTTTTCACTCTGCTACCCAAAGATAGCCAAGAAACCACAGCTCCGGGGAATAACAAGCACTCGTTCATCTGGGGAAGGAACACTCAGCGGTCTCATGCCAGACCATGATGGGCACATGAGAGCAAACACTTCTCAAAGGGACCGGCTGCACTGCCACGCAGTAGGCAGACATCCGCAACCAGGGTTGTCCACTTTTAAGGCTTGAAGTCTTTCCCTGTGAAGACACAGACTTTTTTTTTTAAACAAAGACAGACAGATAATGCACAAAGAGGGGAAGCAAAGATCAGCATCAACAGCCAGTAAAAAAACATCGGGGAAGCATCCTTCTCAACATGCCCAGGGCATGCATAGTGGAAACAGCTCAATAGCCACATAGGAACCTTGGGCCAGATTGTCCCCTGCTGTCAATCAGCTTCCTTCCTTTGATTTTATACCAGCAGAGGGGCTGGCCCTTTAACACAAAGGAAGACATTCATTTCTTGAGCAGAAACAAAGAGGTTGCGTTTCTCGATCCGGCATTTCTGCTAAGAGTGATCGACCACGAGCAGCAAAGCCCGGCAGATATCCCAAATTTGCATACAGAAGGGAGGTAAATTTAGGGGCAGTTGAGAGGCATGCAGGTTGCACAATGAAAGGGAGAGAGGACAGAGAGGCTTGGAGATCTGGAGAGGAAAGGAACAAATATGACTGTGCGGCAGTGGTAGGGTTAGCTTCAGGCGATGCAAAACACCAAGGGAAAGAGAGGAGAGCTAACGGCACAGGCGACAGTGCATTCTGTTGGAGTGCGAGGTGCAGTGCCAGAACGCAGGGCCGCCTTTTTAGGCCGATCCACAGACCAGAAGGTGAAAGCAGGTTCGAGGCACAGGGAGCAATTCTAGCATGGCAGGGAGGGAGAAGGAGGAAGAAGACGGTGCCAACACATGCCAAGGTAGACAGTAAGAGTTTACCAAAACGGAAGCTGTATAAAATTCTTACCTCCCATAAATCCCAAGGTAAAGACTAAGCGTGTCAAAGAGCAACAAGAACAAAAACAGGTTTATACTGGATTATTTCCGCCAACGGAAGCAATACAAATATCGTTCGGAGCGAGGCAGACGTACACATTCCACTGCACTCGCCTCTACATTTTGACATTTTTCTTAATTGCAAAATGATTGAGACCTGCCTGCGTCGCACGTTGGATTTGAAGCACGGCATTAGACTAAGCACAGCCTCACCTTTGGCGCTAGTACATCAGCGCTGCAAGCGAAGGTGCAACGGCAGCGGGCGTTGATACACCCGTGCTACCTTTATTCTAGCCCGCATGGGTAACAATAGCAGTGAAGATGCAGTTGCACAGACCCCAGCTTTGGGTTAGCAACCTGAGTACATACCCAGAGCCCCCAGCGGGCTTGTACTGGGGCGGCTAGACCATGCCAAAATCCACACAGTCCTCGGTTCACTGTTACCCAGGCAAGCTCTATTAAAGCTAGTGCGGATACGCCTACCTGCCATACAGTTCTGTACGCATTTGCAAACTTTTTTTTCTCGTGACCGAGTTGAAGAAAATTGTTGATGCCCGCAATCAAACAGAGCTGGGGATGAGGGGTTTGAGGTGTGGGAGGGGCTCAGGGCTGGGGCAAAGAGGTGGGGTGCGGAGGAAGTCAGGGCTCTGGGCTGGGGGGGTGCAGGCTCTGGGCTAGGACCGGGGATGAGGGATTTGTGGTGCAGGAAGGGGATCCGGGTTGTGGGGGGGGCTCTGGGCTGGGGCAGGCGATTGTGGTGTGGGGTTGGGGCGCAGGCTTACCTTGGGCAGCTCCCGGTCAGCAGCACAGCAGGGATGCTAAGGCAGGTTTCCTGCCTGTCCTGGCACCGCGGCTCACACCCCAGAAGCAGCCAGCAGCAGGTCCGGCTCCTAGGTGGAGGCACGCAAGCAGCTCCGCGCAGCTCTTGCCCGCAGGCAACGCCCCCCGCTCCCATTAGCCAAGAACCGGCCAATGGGAGTGCAGAGAAGTGCTCAGGGTGGGGGCAGTGCGCAAAGCCCTGTAGTCCCCCTGCCTAAGAGCCAGACCTACTGCTGGCCATTTCCGGGGTGCAGCGCGGTGTCAGAATAGGTAGGGACTAGCCTGCCTTAGCCGGGCAGCATCACCAACGGGACTTTTAACAACCCGGACGGAGGTGCTGACTGGAGCCACCAAGCCCCAGTGCCTTACATTCCGTGACCCAGTCCTGGGTCCCCACCCGCAGTTTGAAAACCACTGCTCTAAGTCCCACATCCCTCAAACATCAATGGCCGATAGCACTACTGGTCACCATCTCGCCACTGGGAAAATGCAAGGGCTAGTGGCATACGGTTTTCTCCATTTAAAACCTTTGGAAGCATTGGGCTGGTCGTGCTCATTTCCATGACTGCAGTGACGTGTGTGTGTGTGGGTGGGGGGGGGAAGGGAATGGTTTTCAGAACTCTGCTTCGTGTTCGGCCCCCCACTGATGCCAAGGATCAACTCCCTGCAACGTCAGTAGCTGCAAAGATAGGCCAGCGCGGAGCGCTTTGGAAAATCCCTCCCATAATCCGGACATTGACGGCTTGTCTGTAAGTCCAAAGTTTTGTCCTATCTAATGGAACCGCAGATTGTTCACACTTTGGTTCTTAAAAATCGCTCTGCTCCCACCACTAACCAAACAGAGTCATTTGCTGGGAGGAGCCCAGCACTAAGGGTGGGTTTCCCAGCAATACAATCAGGGCAACACTAAATCCATGTGGGACATGGTCCATGCTAACCTTGTGATGCACATTGACTGAGTTTCCTAGGCCAAATCCCGCAAACATCCCCATTCTCTGTGCAGATGAGATTGCTGCATGCGCAAAGCCAGGCGCACGCTCACCTGACTCATGCACACGAGCGTCCGAGAGAGCTCACGGATGTGCGGGGGCATGTGCACACCCCTTGAGAACTCAGTCAATATGGAAATATGCACTGAAGGCATAGGCTGACTCCGCAGTCGGTAACGGTTCACGTACTCGTGGAAGAGGGAATGGGGAATAGTAACAAACCTGAGTGGCAGGTGTGGGTGTCTTCCCCACAGGGCTGGCATCTGGTTTAATGGGATCAAAATCCAGATCCAACAGGCTGGCTCCCTCCTGGAAGGGCCCAGGGGCATCAAACTTGGCAGCAGTAAGGAAGAAAAGCAGTGTGAGCATTAGACAGATATCGGAGATAGACGGTATATGGCACGGGCTCAGGGTGCAGATGCAGAAGGCACATGGTGGGCATGATAACCACGGATGCCTCCATGCCTGTGCCCCAGATTGCATGATGCCTGTGAGCACGTACAGCGCACCAAGGAACGCATGCAAACCAAGAACTCAAACCTTGTCCGTTTTCCTACTTGTCTGAATGGCTCGGCCAGGACAGGGTGGTCTTATATGGCCGAATTGCCACTGCACCAGTCAGCTTGGAAAGGTTTCTCATCTATTCCCAACTGTCCTTTGCAGCTTTTCTGCATCACCATCGGCTACATGGTGCTCCCAGCTCAGGATTAATTTCCCATCCTCCTCAGGAGCTGCCACCATCTGCTGTGCGGCCAACCGGCATTCAGCTCACCCGTCGTATCTACACCAGTTGCTCAGGACCTGGAGCTCGGGAGGGAAAGGCACATGATCCTGGAAGGTACCTCCAATGGAGACCCAAGCCTAATCCCTAAAGTTTGCTGATCTGTTACCCCTCTTCAGACTCCAAACACCATCCACAGTCACATGAATCAGAGGTGAGAGTTCACATCTACCCCATGGTTCTTGACAGCCACCAAATTCCACACCTGTCACTGCAAGCTCCGGTGCTGCCACACTGGGGGTCCACCCCTCAGACACACACCAGGACTAATGTGCTTTGTATTTTCCAAGACACACCCAGATTCAAGAGATGTCACCCCTGCCTTCTGAGCCAGCAGAGTGAGTTCCGTTCTCTCTACTACACAAGCAGGTGGCATTCATGAACTGCCTTTAATGCAGCCGACGTGGCAACTGTCACATAAGGGGAACTGGTCATTAACATTCAGTCCTGAGCTAATGCCATTCATTTTTAGTTTCCTGCAGGGCCATTATGAGATGCCCCTTTTCTGTCTAGCTCTTCCTTTGAGAAGAAACAATTCTGCTCTATGAGCTTCGTGCTTTCCATGGATTTCCCCAAGCGCGCTGGCCCTATAATTTCTACTATATTTCCAGTTCCACCCAAGGTTGTTTTCTGTTGTTCCGCCCCAACTCCAGCAAAGTCCATCAGTGAAAATGCTCCTAGTACTTACTAAACACATCAGATTACCCAGCGACAAGCTTCAGTATCAAGTTAGGACATGAATTCATTGGTCCACCCAGGCCAAAGAGGACCACAAAGTTTAGCATTTTGCAGCAAAACCGCTACAGTGAACAGAAAGTGTGATACAGGAGATCCACACCCTTGTTACTTTCCACCTCAATGCACTTTACTCCCACTTCCACTTCTCTTTATAGCTCTCCCCTTCTTATGGGCTTGTGGTCCACCGATTAGCACTCACAGGAAGGAGTGTGGCCAGCAGCCGTCCAGGTCCCCAACCCAAAGTGTTAAACACTAACCAGCACCCAGCCTCTATATCTCACTGGATAATTCTATAATAGTTCCTAGACAATTCTCCAGTAGAGCAAGGTCTTCACAGAGGTTCCACTTCCCACGCTTTACTTGGTGCTCAGAGATCAACGGCTCTGGCTACGCTGGAATCTTACCTGCTGTTCAAGAGTTATATGCACCATGGATTAGGGCTTCCTGCCCTTTGCCTAAGTCACCCCCAATACCTATCTTATCAGGGCCCCGATTGCACATTGAAATGGCCCTGGGGAATACACTGAACATTAACGGACACTGGGTGCCCCAGTGGTGTCTGTTCTAGAAACAAGAGTCCCTTCTCAAAGATCACGTCCTTTAGGATGACACAGCAGGTCCCATCCTGGGTCGTGCGCACTGAACCGCCGTGTGCAGGAATCCCTGGATAAACGCAGGAGTTCACACATGATACGAACAATGTAACAGACACAGCAATCGGTTACACGGACATGCTACAAGCTACCCAGGCATGCAGAGGGAGAAAGAATTGCTCAGTGGCCCATGGCTTTCTCCTGTGATGTAAATATACATAGAACGCTCGTTAGAGTGTCCAGATATGAATGTAACTGGAGCCGGAGGAGAGTTCTGTATTGAGGACAGCACGGAGATGCTGCAGCTGTTGACCTCCAAAGCTCTGCATGATTACACGCTTGCTTTTGTGCGTGCTCTCGTCTCCTCCCTCCTCCCTGGTGTGGGCTCCGACCACAAAATATGGATCTGGGTATCGGGCCCTTTGCCTTGGGGTGAGTTAGGAGCCCATGAATTTAGGATGCCCAGAGGTCTGGGCCCATCTCTCTGACTGCAAACCTTTAATACTTAAAGTTAAACAAAGACTAATGGACCCTGCATAATATTTGTAAAATGTACCAGAATTGGGGGAAAGGTCCAGTGCTGTATCCTGTCATGCCCTGGTCACTGCTGCCTTTCACCCCAAGCAGAGATAATGGGGGAAATCCTGTCCCTACTAAAGTCAATGGCAAAACTCCCATTGATTTTAATGGGGCCAGTATTTCACTCCAATGCACAGATCCACAAAGCAATCTCTAACGGCTTCTAGACAGTCTCCTTCCCAGGCAGGACAATGGACTTTATTAGAACCTTCTCATGTCCTGCTGGCAGTTTGCTTTGAAAGCTAGAAAACTTAGTATTTTCTTTAAGATCCCAGCCATTCACTAGGGTTTCCAGCTTACAGAAGCCCCCACAGAAATTGACATTCCAATAATTAAATCAATCAAGGGGTTCAGTACACTAACAAAGGCCAGTAGGTTCAGAGGGAAAGCAGACCCCATATTGCCTGCATTGACCCCATGGTGCTCGGTCTGGTGGAGATGACAGGGGGTCATGCTACATGAAGAGCTCCGCAGAAGCAACAAACCGCAGGAAGTGCCAAAATCACCCAACACCAACTATTCTGGGCCAGATTCTGTGCTCAGTCGCATGGGTGCAAATCCAATGAACTGAATGGAGTCACTCCAGATTCACCTTGGAGTAACCCAGTTCGGAATCTGGCCCTTTGTTTGGGGACAATTTAGCCCAGAGACTTTAATAGTCTGCTTCCCTACCTTGGTTTAATATTATGTTGGACATCGGTGTCAATACAGGAACTTACGTTGAAGGACACGCCTGCACCTATTTCTTATTCCCCACCTCCTCCAAAAGGAGATGCCTGTCTGTGATGGCATGAGCATGGCACAGCCACGTTTTCACACAAAATGTCCTCACTAAAAACAAAGGCAAGCGTCCATCAGGCAGCTGTCAGCTAAATGTTGCCTAAAGAATATAGTAGCAGTGACAGGGCTGGGAGCCTAAAATGCTTTGAGATAAGGTTGCCAACCCTCCCGGATTGGCCTGGAGTCTCCAGGAATTAAAGATCAATCTTTAATGAAAGATTATGTCATGTGATGAAATCTCCAGGAATACGTCCAACCAAAATCAGCAACCCTATTTTGAGAGCTTTAGCAAAGGAGGAAAGGTTTTGTTTTGAAGGGTGGGATTTTGTTCGTTGGGGGTCCTTTGGTCAGAATGAGCAAGGACCCCCTTTAATGGTAACCCACCCCTGCCTGTTTGATGCTGAGTACTCGGACACTATTGCTGTCCGCATCATCCCTGCACTCTAGGAGTTCAACCAGCCCCCACGGTATCTGAATGTAACTTGAGGCCTAGCTTTCTTTTCTCCCAACCCTGGGTGCCTTGTTTCTCCACAGTCGGGTGGAAGCTGGAAAGCCACAGGCCACTGAATTTGGGTTACAGAAGGAAAAGCGAGGAGGACAGTTACAGAGCAGCATTGTTAGAGGTGTCACCTGGGTCTTTAAGGGATGAATTTAAAAAAATTGAACATAAGACAGTGCGAGTCTCATAATTAAGCCAGAAAACTGGTCAGGCTCTCATCGGCACAGGGAGTAGTACCCAGGGATGTAATACCAAATAGCCCGCCCTCTTCCCCAGCCCCCTTCTCCAGCTGCAAACCACATTAAAGAAGAGAGGGAGAAGAGGAATCTTTTCCCTTCGAAATTGCATTTGATCTTCAGGATTTTAGCTGCAGAGACCGAGGGCTGATTAAGAGCCACCAGCCTCACGCCAGCCAGATGCCCAGTGCCACTCAAACAGAGATAATGCTGTTACAGAGAGCTGATTGCGGCAAAAGGTGCTGGCTGAGGTCTCTGGAGACTGAAGTCCTTGATCCACAGCCCTGCCCTGTAGGTGGTTTCTTGCCCACTCCACTGGGTTCCTGAGACACTCCCGTTCCATACGGAGAAGTGGCATTTCAAAGCCGCAGGAGCCTGATTTTCATATCAACCTTCAGTTGGACCTGTTCTAGCCTCTGATTAGCAGACCCCGGGAGCGTACAGAGCAGAGCCATGAGTGCCTCACCCAGGCCTGGTGGGAACCATGTCTAGGCCCAGCCGCTCTTCGCCTGCTCAGTGGACACAAGTGCAGTGATAGCTTTGTGACCCCTTCACCAGGCGCCCCACAGAGTCCTCCCTCTTCATTCTACACAGGCCACGACAACAGCCGTAACACAGCCCTGGCTTCCGGGCCGCACCGATCAAGGCTGGCTTCAAACTGACCAGCTGCTCAGGGGCGACTGGTGCGGTATCCCATTGGCAATCTCAGCCCGGCCACGCGGTGGCAGCTGGCCCCTCTGGCCCTACCTCCTGACCAGGTTTCGTGGCGTGACACCTCTAAGCAGGGGACAGTGCCAGGGGCAGGGAGCAGACAGAGATAAGGCAGGGCAGAGCGGCTAACCTGCGAGGGGGTGGTCACGCTTATCTCGGGGACAAAATTGTCATCAAACAGACTGATGATGTTCTCGTGCTTGATCTCCTTGGAGGGGGTGTGCTTTGGAGGTGGCGGCACCGGAGGGCCTTTCCGCAACTGCATGCAAGCGAGCGAGCACACGGCGACACCCAAAAAAACCAGAGACAGGAACCAGGTTAGCAAACTAGAACCACAGACACAAGGAGGGGTCAAATAAATAGACATGGGAAGGGGGGGAGGGGAACAACCACACGCCTCCAGAGAAGGTTTGGCATCATTAGTTACACTTCAGCAGCGGACGGGTCTCCCTCTGTGGAGGAGAAGCGTAACACAATTAATATGCATCACTCGGACATGCATACGTAATTAGAGCATGTGCAACCTTCCAGAGAACCACCAGGGGTGACAGACAGGTTACTTGGCACACGTTTCAGCAGAGAAGTCCAGTGCGCTGGCCACCACTCCCGATACCTACCTGTGCGGTGTGAGCCTAGGGGAGTTAGAAGCCAAAGCAGATTGGCTTTAATCACACGTGGACACCAGTGGGCTAGATCCTGATCTCCTTCCACTGGTTCCACTCCACTGGTTTCAGTGGATCGACTGCAACATAAGTGAGACCAGATGGGGCTCCTCGTGAGAATGACACAACCAAGACTGAGATCTGGGCATGGGTTATTGAAACATGTGAGAACGGGCTCGCCCTGAGCCTGTCGGCTCTCAGCTTCACTGAAGTGTAACACTAGGGACATCACTGAAGTCACAAGAGACACGGGGGCATAAATCCAGGAGCAGGCAGGGGGGTCAGGCCATCCCTCTGTCCATATCTGACATCCTTCCTCACTTCACAGTGGGAGCCTTTGATTCCGTGCTGCATGAGCCACACCTTGGATGCTGTGGGAACACACGATAGGGACGGCAAACCAGTTCAGGCACTGTCTGAATTTCCCTTTGCCCCCAGATATTCGAGCTCAAATTGAACCTGTTGAGAAGATGCTGACGGACTGGGGGGAAAAGAGTCTACTGTACAGTGCGGTGAAGATCTCCAGAACTTTAATGTCGCTTAGCACCCCCATAACACTTTCTATGTGCAAAAAGCTTTATGAACATTAATCTTCTCATCCTACCTAAGAAGGTAGGTCATTATTATCCCCATTTGCAGCCAGGGAAAACTGAGGCAGAGAGCATGTGACTTGACAAAGGACAGACTGCTTATCAGTGTCAGATCTGGGATTAGAACACAGCAGCTCCTGGCTCTCAGGCCTGTGTTCACTCCACTAGGCTGCTCTGCCCCTCCCTCGGATGCACAAACGTGTGCCCTACCAGACATTTATTTGGCTGGCTATGGAAAATGCCAACTTTCTAGAGGGTTAATCTGCCCCGGCCAACGTGCCTGTTAGATTCCATATACACATCTGAACTGCAACTGGCTGCAGGGTAGAGGGTAAGTAATAATGAAAGTGGCACTTTCACTTCCAGATCTCACTGCGCGGAAGCAGAAGTGCCAGAATGCCACGGGAACAGCCACTCCCGCAGTATCCTGAGCCCAGCCCGATGCAGAAGGTACCAGAAGCCTCACAGGAAAGACTGTTCTCCTCAGAGTGAAGCCAAAGTTTGCTGTCACAAGAGGCTTTGGGGTACTAATCCCGAACCAAACACTGACCCTTTGGAAGTTTGCCCCTCCCCAATACACCCATCCTCCTAATGACTCATGCGGGGGGCTGTGTGGGAAATGACAGCAATACAATGCCTAATCCTCCCACAGCATCTGCTGCCCAACGCACACTGCACTGCATATCTACTGAGCCCTGTCCCCGTGTCTCGATTCTGAATGGAAAGAATGCTCCCAGGACACGGTGGTTCTATGTTGAAGGAAATGGAATACCCTTCTGGTTCCAGCCCAGACTGGACCCCATATCCCCCTCTTCTGATAAAACGAGACATTGTTCAAAATGAACAAGAACATTGGAAGGACTCTGCTGCCCAGAAAGGAAGTTACACCCCGAGCCCCGTCTACTAAGCTGTCCATTGTAGCTCCATTGACTTCACTGGTGTCGCTCCAGATTGACAGCAGTGTTGCTGAGAGCCCAATCCCGGCCCTTGTGGTTTCATGAGGCCCATTGGTTCTGAAGTCCAGGATCATCCTTGCAGACACATTAACAAGCCTGGAGACATGCTGGCTGTTGCTTCATTAGGAGGCTAGACACAGGCAGCTTTTCAGAAGAGAGAGATGTTGGGAAACAGCTTGAGAGCTGAAACAGTGAATTGTTCACAACCCAACAGGATTTCTCTGTTAGGCATGGCTCCTCTAAGGTATTTAGGTGCCCAGCACCCACTGATGGAAATGGTCTCTCCTTTGCCTCCTTCCCTGTATGTTCAATATGCCCTCTGTTGCTTTCCACACACCACCCTGGTTGTTAGCATCAGTGTACCTGGAGGTGGGGTGAGGACACAGCCGGGGTATTTCACATCCTTGTTGCTGTCCACTCAGGACTCACCACTTACCCAGTGACTTGCCATCACCCATGTTCATCCCATACAAAGCTTCATATTAAATGCGGATAAGTGAGGGTGCAGCTTTTGTGGCTTCCAACTCATGTGGCTACATGCTCTGGGGATAAGAAAGAGGCCATGTGGCCTATCCAAGTCTACCCAGTGTCATTCCTCCCTTCCGTTTCTTGTAAAGCCCCTCGCTGCCTTCCCCGCTTCTGGATCCAGCTCCCTCTTTTGTGCTTGATGCACTGACCCAGAAGGTCACACTGACCACACACGGCCCCTTTCCGCGCTCCTCACGGCAGCAGCCAGGTGAACTACGCAGGCACTGAGAAACGGCTGCCAGCAGGTGGCAGCATCAGCTGCATGAAGGCCCACCTTGGTCTGTTCCAGCAGCTGTTACTGCCGGGCCATTTAAATACACTGAACAGCAGAACCCCGGTTACCCGATCCAATTGGAACCGGGGCCTGATCGGATAAGCAAAAATCTGGATAAACCAGAGAATGGGCAGCAAGGCTCCCGCTGTCATCCCCAGGGCAGTTGGGGCTCACGCTGCCAGCTCCGGGCGGCTGGGGGTTTGGTTAATACGGAGAGCCAGATAATTGAGGCTAGTTAAACGGGGTACTACTGTATTCTGCTTGCTTAACAGTGACCAATCCACCCCCCTGATGCTGCGGTCACTCAGCCCACTAGGGGAGCGCCCAGGGCATTGCAAGAGCGAGGAGAACAAACCCTGTCTCAGTGGAACGAGGTGGAGGATGGGCTGAAAGAGAGGGCCGCACCTGCTCTCCGCTCAGCAACTCAGCACCTCTCCAAACTTCAGAGAGGACTGAGGCAGACAAGGCACCATCGCAGGAGGACGGTGGGTGGAGAGCTGGCCAGGGCAGAGCTGAATAGGTAGCCGTGAGCTGGGGGCGCTGCAGGGAGAATGGAGGTGAGTTATTCTGAAGTAGTTCGTAGAATGGGCGGGAGCCCGAGCGTTTGGCTCCACATTCAGTCCCACATCTCACACGCAGCCCCTGCTCCGGGTTCCGATCCAGAGTTCTGGGACAGCCGACGAGAGACCAGAGCCAGATGGAAGTTCAGACCCAGGCCTGTAACTCGGAGTTCAGTCTGAGCAGAAGGCTGAGTAGCGTGTGGAGAGAGGCATTGGAGGGAGGGATGGGGACAGTCGGTTACTCAGGGTGGTTTAAGGTGGAGGAATTCCATCCTGCCATGGCGCTGGGGAGCGAACTAGCCCTTCCCCAAGAGCGTCCCAGATCGCTCGGGCTGTCATCGCTGGGCAAGGTGAGTGTATCAGGACAATGGGCGAGGCTTGTGCCCTTTTGGCGCTGTGCTGCCCCCAAGCCCGGCCAGACCTCATCTTCTCCTTGAAGCTGTCGGCGGAGATCCCGTGGCCTTACCCTCCTACGCGCCAATGGGCACTGAGCCACTCATCGTTAAATGGATGCTCCAATGCAATGGTTGTGGAGGAGCGAGGCATGGTTCTTTCTCTGGATGTTCACGGCTAGAGATTGGGTGGGCGATGTGATGTCCTTCCCCTTTACACACACACACACACACACACACACACCATTGCTGCTCCAGGGAATTAAACATTCACCACCCACAGCCCTGGAGTTAGCTGCTGTCAGAGGCGTTGGTTTTGTTTCAAGATTTCTTTGCCGTTCTGTTATTGCTCCAGCTATGCTCTCCAGCTCTCCTGCAAGGTGAATGCCACCAAGTAACACCCGGTTCCTGTCTAAAAACCCGACGGCCGAGACCTGGCACACTCCCTCCCTGGAGCCCAGGTGGGATTTTCAGGGTCCAGGGCTATATCGCTGGCCAACAATTGCACAAGGAGGTGCAAGGCAATGGCCCAGCAAGAAGAGCGGACAGGTCCCTGCAATGGAAAAGAAACCAGAACCAAGACCAACAGCAGTTGAGGAAGGTTGGAGGGGAAAGACGAGTTTTCTAACAGGGTGTAGCGGGGTGATTACCCCGTTCCTGCCTGAGGGGTTTAAAACAGCCCTGGCAGAGGGCTGGGGCAAAGGGAAAAGCTACTGGGCTGATTGGGGAATAAGCCACAGCTAGGCCACGCTCCAATCAGGCCCCAGCTGGCCTGTATAAGACGGCTGGGAGCCAAGAGCTCAGGAGTCTCGCTCTGCCTTCAAAGGGAGAAGGGCCTGGCTGCAACGAGCTAGAGACAGGGTACCTGAGTGGAGCAGGGCTTGGGACAGGCTGAGGAGCTCCAGCCTGGATAGCCCCAGGCTGCGTCCTAGTAGGAGGCCAAGGGATACTGGGGGTTGCAGAGGGCAGCCCAGGGGTAGGCCAAGGCAGCAGGTCCAAACCCAACCTTGCCTGTGATGAGTGGCCTATACTGCAGTCTGCCCCAAGGAACGGGGGCTAGTTGGTGACTGGCAGTGGCCTTATTCTGAGGCGAGGTAGGGATAGTGGGTGGGGGTTCCCCTGGGAGGGGAGACCCTAGTACTGAGGGGTGTACGGCCAGGGGGCAGCATCCCAGATACAAGGGCACCAGGGTCCGGGAGGGACATGGGGCCAGAGGACAGGCAGATCCCCAGCCTGCAGAGGGCGCTCTGATGGCTGGATTGAGCTAATTCCCAGAGTCACCAGCAGGAGGCGCCGCAGGGGTGAGTCCGCCCCTCTACACAGGGCTTTAGAAAATGCTGCCAGGTACCTACACATCTCAAAAGGGCTAAAAAAGGGCTTTCATGAGGTTGTGAACATCTCCCCACCCCCGGCATCCAGATCCCTTTAGGGAGACGAATAACACTGAAGGAGAGACAGAATGAGAGACTATTCCAAAGTGGATGTAGGCCCTGACCCAAAGCACGACTCCACCTCACCTGGACTTCAGGAAAGCTTTGATCTGTAGCCATCTTGGCTGAAGAGTGATTGGGCATTTTTTCTCCGGTTAAGACGCTATTAGGCCAGAACCACTGAGAACCTGGATTCTTCCATTGGGAAGATAATCTACTGAAGTCACCTACTGAGGTCCAGGGACTTGCCCCACACCTGAATTTGGCCAGCTAAGTTTATTCTGCATTTCCCATCCACCCCCTCCTTTCACTCCCTCCCATATTTTAAAAACACCAGTTGGGGTTTCACATGCGAGGAAAAAGACCAAGGAGCTTAAATTAAATGTGTGCAGCAGTGATGGTGCAGGGACCATAACATGCAGACAAAGCCCCGCTCTTCAGATCAGTGGCTCAGCTTGTCTGGAACGCTGTCGCTAACAATGGCCGGCATCAAACGCTGCAGTGGAAGGTATTTGATTCCCCGCAAGGGACACGCCTCTTCCTGGCCTCCATCAGTCAGCAGTTGGCCTACTCCTTGAAGAACAAGGATTTATTGCCTTGATTGTTCACCCTGTTTGCTGTAATTGTGGAAGTTCTCCTTACCCACGTCAGTGTCTGATCCTTTTTTGGATAGTGCTCAACTATTGGCTTCAGTAATATCCTGCGGCAATGAGTTCCACAGGTTAATTAGGGGGAGGGGGGGGAGAGAACAAATTTCATATCTCAACTCTGACCTTCACCCTCACTGAATGGTCATACACCACCCTGGTGGAGGGGTATTATTTAGTCTCCTATGGAGTACACGTTAACAGCACTGAAGAGGAATTTCAGGGCTTGGTTAGCCTTCTCCCGGCAATAGAGATGGACAGGGAGCAACTGATCTTATCAGACAGGCAGCGCCTGCCACACAGGGATCCAGCCGTTCCACAAGATGGAGAGCAGACACCATCTCATATGCTCAATACCAGCCAGAGTCCTGCCTTGTGTCTTGTGTGGCCCACTGAGCCTTTGGCAGCAGGGATCTCATTGCTGGGGCCAGGGTAACACCGCGAGGACACTACCTGAGACGGCGACTTAGGGATGCCAGCCCCGGGTGTTTCCAACGAGGACGGTTCCAGCTCATGGTTGACGGTCTTGATCTCGGGGCTGGTGATGGGGGTCCCATCGGGTGGAGGCGAGGGGCTTTTGTTTGCTTTCGCAGGGGCACTGTCGCTGCAGGAGAGAAAACAAAGGAGAGTCAGAACCAGCCCCCGAATGCATTATTCTGATCAGACAGACTGATCCAGCCAGGCCTCGTGGTCTCAATTCTCTCCCCACTTCAATGCCCACACCTGCAATCAGGGACCCTCCGTCCAGTACCAGGCAGAGTTTATAAGCTTCCGAGCAGCTTCTTGCTGAGTCACCCTCAATCCAATGCATTGTCTTTCTGCAGTAGGAACTCATGCAGATCACGATATATTAACCTAGGTCACTGCCTTGCATGCACATGGATGCACTTAGACACACTGAAAAAACAGAAATTCTGTCCTGTGGCATTATATGGACACCCACATAGGTGGCTGCCCCACACAGACCTCTGCCACGTGAGCTAACAAAGTAACTGACAGCAGTAGCAGGTTGTCATCCTCTGTGGGGACCAGCACGAGAGGGGGACAAGACCCTTTGCCAGAAGGTGTCACAGATATTTGCTGAGACTCATCCCAGGCCCTCGAGGGCAGTGTGGTCTAGAGGACAAAGACTCATCGAATCATAGAATATCAGGGTTGGACGGGACCTCAGGAGGTCATCTAGTTCAACCCCCTGCTCAAAGCAGGGACCAACACTGGTTCTGCTCAAAGCAGGACCAACACTCAGCTGCTCGTTTCCCCAAGCTTGACCCCCTTCTGCCCGGTTGCCTCCAACCTGTCCCTGTCCTGGTATTGTCTGTTTCCCATCCATTGCCAGCCCCATTCTCCGTACCCAGCCAGTCCCAGTTGCCCCACCTCAGGCTGCTCAGACTTATCCCAGTCTTCTTACCCAGCCAGTCACAGCCTCCCCCTCCAGACTCATAATCTCCGTCCCAGTGTCCCACTATAACTTCCAGTCCCAGTTATTCCCCGCTTCCAATCCTAGTCTTTTTTGCCTTTCCCAGTCCCCCTTCCCCTCTTAGCTCCTTGTCCCAGGCTCCTTGCCCATTCAGTCACAGTTCCCCCTTCCTGGCTTCTCATCCTACCTGTCACCTCCCCCACCCCCCAACCTCTAGTCCCTATCCCCACTGGCTCCAGGCTCCCCTGGGCTCCTTGTCCAATCTCAGTCTCGGCCCCAGCCTACTGGCTCCCAGCTCCCCACCCCCACCATCTTCCCAACCCAGTCTAAAACCAGTCTAAAACCGGATGGGACTCAGAACCTCGGTCCCCATCCCACAGGGCAACAATGCACTTCCTCTATGTATGTCCACTTGAAACAGACATGCCCCATGGTGTCCATGTTCTGGTAGTCACTGGCTAACAGTGGAATGTAGATGCTCACGCCAACGGAGGATGCACTACGGTCTCATGCTTAAATGCATAGAGTCTTGGGACAGGGTGGGGGAAGAACCAAGAAGCACTTAAAGACTCCTTTCCATTCAAAGCAAGCATCAGCCTTTGAGCCCCCGATCCCACCTCATTCCCCAACCTCACAGAGACACCTCCAAGAAGCAGTCTTGCTACTCTGAAACTCCAAGAAGCAGTCACTCCACGCTCTCATGCAGATCAGATGTTTCTAAGGACATTCACATCAGCAGCATGACAACAAGATGCAAAAAACCCCAACAGCTTTCTGTGCAGACAGCTCTCACCCTGTGGGTCATATGGACCTGGAGAAGAAGCGGGTGCTTGTTGGGAGGAAACCAGGAATGGGTCACAAACATGCATCCAACCCTCCTGCTCTTCAACTTGACTGGATTTGCCTACTGCGTCCTCCTCAGATGTTCCTTAAGCTACTGCAGTGGGGGAGCCGGTGCGAAGGATTGTGGGACCCAGCTGAGGAGTGGCTAAGTGAGGAGGTGCTAGGAGGAAAGAGGCTGAGAACTCCTGCTGTAAATCAGAGTCACAGCAACCTCAATATAAGCGGTGTGCAGCAAGCTAGTCAGTCACCTGTCAGTAGCAAGTACACCGCCTCCTCCCGTCCTGTGATTCCTCACTTCTAGGGCAACAGAGGAAGGGCTGGCCTCACTAGGCGGACCCAGCGACTCAGTGAGAGTGCAGGGTATCGCCAGAGGAGACCCGGGTTTCAATCCTGGGCCGCAGCCTCTTGCTTCCCAGGCTGGAATAATTTCCCCCACCCCAACAGTGCCCCC